GTTCAAACTAATGACCAAGTTTACACACCAGTTCTTTCAACAGAGAACACAACTGTAAAAATCACTCAGTCAGTGACTTTTACTACAGAAAATGAAGTCAGTTGAATACATATGCCAAAATTTAATTAGCAAGATAGACATCACTTTAAAGCAGTGCTAGACGAGTTGGCAATCTAGGCCTTCTATAAGCATAAGAATCCCTAGGCTGTTAAATTTACTCCCTGTAGTAGTGCTATCAATTTTCACCAGGCTATCTTATTTGCCTTTCACCCTCATTCCCACTAAGACCTTTACATTTGCACTTGTAATTAGCTATTTGTCAAGCATCTTTTTGGCTATCTATGATGACTATATTACTGCAACAAGGGAATCCTTTATAAACAGTTTGGTTTGCAGGATCCCTTTACAGAATTTTGGCCATCTAGTCCAGGTTAAAAGGGGCCAAAAAGGAAAATGGGTACTTCATTCCAAGGATTTTAAACTGAGTGCTCTGATTACCTTCACTGCAGAGTGATTTTGTTTTACTGTAGTCATTAATAGCACTATTCTGACTGATATTATACCACAGCATATGTGCAAAATAAATACAAAATTTATACAAATACTGATCTAAATGTTTCAGCTGCATTTGCATGTTAATTGTCCCAGGGGATATTTTGACATATTTTATATATAAAGACATTGATTAGTGAATTTCACATATAGTATCAAAACAGTATTTGCAAACTACTTAAGTTCAAAATCACACCTTTGCAAATTGGTTTACTCTGGTTCCAAGTGCTGTCTTTTATACAACGCATTGTAGATGAACTGGCAGGCTCCATCAAGTATCCTGGGTTGCACTGGTAGCTGACTGTCTTATTAAAGGTAAAATCATTTCCAAACTGAATGCCATTTGCTAATGCACCTGGATCTCCACAGCTGATCACTAGTGAGGAAAAGTAAAAAAGGTATTTTTTAGTTATAAACATGTAATGCAACATTGAACTACGTATAGCTAATGTCCTTTTAGTGTGCAAGACAAGAAAAAAATTTTATCACGATATCTCACACAAAATCAAAACTATAATATTTAATTTCTAGCTAAAAGGTCATATTATCAAGGCATCGCAATAGTGGGGGCCAAGTATTGTGATCCTTAAATACTCTAGCTTAAGCTGGTACGCTCTACTGCTGCTGTAGTAGACTGTTATGTTAGTGGTAGTTTTGATAGGACTTTACCTTTCTTCATACTGGTATCTGTGTCACATTATGCCTAATCTTGATGGTGCAGTGCAATTCCAGCAGCTACGAAATTCCTCTTTTTTTTTTTTTATATTACTGTACTGATGTACTGTGGACCTGTCCTTGTCAGTGAGGCCACTGGCCATGCTGGCCTGACAGCACCCATCTGCTCCCTGCTCATTTACCCTGAAGAAAAAGCCCAACCTCACTTCTCCCTGACTCAGTTCTCAGAGAACAGGTATTGGTCAGATCTGACTCCTTTGGCTCACAACAAAAACTGGCACAGTAAAGTATCCAATTAGGTAAAATCTGATTTAGAACTACCACAACTTCATCCTCTGTACATGAGCCACAGGTAAAAAAAAAATAAAATTAAAAAAAATTAAATTAAACTCTAGAGGAACACCTATTCTTGGGAATAATATTATATGTTCAATGCTGACTTTCATGAAATAAACAAATACAGAAAAGTTACCTACCTACCTCAAAAAAGATCTGGAAACATCTAGCATGTATTAAAAGAGGATGTACATTTAGATAAATAAAATATTTAAGTATTACAAAAGAGATGAATGGGGAAAAATGTGTTATTTTATCTAATAAAAATCATTTTCAGAAAAGCTGGAAGACTTATTACTTTAAAGCTTTAGAGAAAGAAAGTTTTTTTCTGACCTGTGCAGTCTGGAGCAGTGCCAGTCCATGTCCCATTTGCAGTACAATGTCTAGTAGTTAGCCCTGAAGTTTTGTAACCTTCCCAGCAGGCATAAATGACTGAGCTGGAGAATAATATTCCATCAGTGTATACGATCATACCATTGGCTGGGGTGCCAGGGTTCCCACAAGATACAGCTGTGAATAAAAGGTTAAAGAAAAAATATTTCCATGATAGGAGACTAACTAAAAAAAAGAAAAAGTAGGTCAATAACCCACCTTTTTAAAATGTTACAGCAAGTTTTACTAAGAAAATGTTTAATAGGAATATTCTTGAGTTAATTTCTGTTTGTTAATATGATCATTTTACTTGCATTTGTTTTGGTTTTTATTTTTTAGGTTTTTTGTTGTTGGTTTGGTTTGGTTTGGTTTGGTTTTTGTTTGTTTGTTGGTTTTGAGTTTTTTTTTAATAGCTGATCCAGATAGTTTACATAGCTTGTAAAATTTCCCATCTGCCCTATAGAGTCACTGGAGAGAGGAAAGCTCATTGAGGACTTTCTGAATGAAAAGAGCCTGACTCCACCTTCTGTGCACCCTGCCTACACATATTGATATGATGTTAAGATCCCCCTTGGGCCTTCTCCTCCCTAGTCTAGACAGTCCCAACTTCCTCAGCTTTTCCTCAGAGGAGACATGCTTCAGTCCATTCACTATCTTAATGGCCCTTTGCTGGAATCTCTCCAGTGTGTCCATGTCTCTCTAGTACTGCAGAGCCTAGAACTGAATCCAGCACTCCAGATGCTGCCTCACCAGTGCTGAGCAGAGAGGAAGGATCACTTTGCTCCTAAGGCAGACTGGGATACCACTAACCTTCATTGCAGCAAGGGCACACTGCTGATTATATTCAACTTGTTGTCCACCAGGACCTCCAGCTGGATGGCCCCCAGCATGAGAGTTATAATCTAATAGTTATAGATTATAAAGATTCATTAAAATAAACACAATTTTTCAATTAAAAATTACTCTGAGTATTACTAAAGTTTGCAATACCTAAATGCCTTTGTTTTAATGAAGTCTTAGTCACTTTTTATGTGTAAAAGTTTCAAACATTGAAGAGAAAAATTCAGTAGGTTGGAACTTGAACTTGTAGGGATGAAAAGGTGTTCTTTTCCTAATCTCATCCTTGTTTATACTAAAAAGGAAAAATTAAAGAAGAGAAAAATGGAAAGAAAGGTGTTTTTTTCTTTGTTTATGGTTTGTTTTTTTTTCTAAAAACAGAAGGCTGAAGCAAAAAAAAATAAAGAAAAAGCAGCAGCATTTCAAACATTGCTAATTGCTGTCCTACTATAAAAAATGTCTTCATGCATGGGAAGAAGAAAGAACATTGCAAAACTTCTGGAAATACTGATCCTGTGTATACTGTCATTTTCATACAGTTATGATGATATCTACACTGACAGAAGATTAGTCTCTGCTGAAGAACACTCCAAAAGAACAATTTTTAGATGAAGATACTGTGCTAAAATTCCTTGGTGAAAAAATACAAAGTATTTGTTAAAAAATATTTTGTCCTATCTTCCACTTTATCATTCAGTGTAATAGACAACAGATACTACAGAATCCATCAATTTCAATGAGTTAGATAAAGTAACTTTTCAAACATTCTTGGAAAACAAGAAGTCATTTTAAAACTGAATCTAAAGTCCTCTGCTTTGCAATTCTAACAGTACATAAAAAGTGTTAAAACTCTGTATTATATTTTTATCTTATTCTTAAATATGATTTCAGAAGTATTCTCTGTTACATTTCTTCTGAAAGAGCTAGCATAAAAATAGTGTGTTCCATAAGAAATTAGTCTAACTTATGTGGAGAAATATACATAAATTTATACTTAGTTAAGAATACAGCATTATTTTATCATCTGTTCAGTCCTTGATGTATGGACATTACATAGAAGGAGAAAATACTGTAAAATACTGTATTGCTAGAAGATGGATGATAGATTTAAATATCAATTCATTTTCGTCTCGTCAATCAGAAGCATTTGTCTCATTTTATATTTTACTTGGGTATCTATTCTCCATTTTCAGGATCAATATTTGTTTAACTAGGATTAGTTTCTCACAATCTTCTTACAAACGTATGCTCCAAAATTTTATCAGTTTGGATTTAGGTTTTCAGGCAAAACATAAACTGCTTGCAAATTCTTTTATACCATCTTTCTGCAGAGCAATATGAAAGCATATTTCTGGCATAGAATATCTTTTTAATTTAAGAACAGAATATCATTAGTAAATGTCATTCACTGGTGCCATAAATGTCAATGGTATGACATACCTTCACACACAGGCTGTATACCTGACCAGGAACCATTCAGTAGGCACGTTCGTTCTGCAGATCCTCTCAGCTGATAACCCATTTCGCAGGAGAAACGTAGCAGACTTTTTATTTTTAACTCATCTCCAAGTCTAGACCCATGAGCTGGTACTCCTGGATCATCGCAATAGCCAGGATTATTTCCTGTAAAAAACAACAGAACAGAACTATTGGCAAAGATGTTATGTGCAAATGTAGCGGTAGAGAAGATACTCTCATGTGAACAGTACTACTAACTGCATTGTTTCTACTATATAATTAAGCACTTTTTCTTCCAGTGCAAGGATGCAAAACCAAAGGCAAAGACGAAAATAACTTATCTTTTTAGCCTACTTCTTATCTCAGAACTCTACAGACCTAAACATAGAATATGATACAAATAAAAGATAAAAGGTAATTGTGAACATGAAAAGAACTCCTGTAATTTTTTGTCAGTTCAACAACTTTGTCTTTTTGACAAAAATAGTGTTTTCTACACACTGTATTTTATTGTTTAACTTCACTGCTAGTAATAACTTCTAATAACAAAAATTAGGTAACAGCAGGAGTGAAGAGAACCATATTCAAGTTTCTTAATAATATATTTGAAATACATATATCCACAGAAAAAAATAAATGCTACCTGGATCTCTGTGCCTGTCAAGAATGGAAAGGACACCTTATAATTTTCCTTATCCTTTAAATTGCTATGTAAGTATTTGTTACAATATTAGAAAAGAAAGAATGTGTTGCAAAACAGACCTCTCAAACATGTCCTCATAGGTCTGATGAACCAGGCAACTTATCGGATAAAGCAGCTGCTACAGGAAATGCTACCCAAGATGGAAGTATGGTCTCAGTATCAACAACTCATTAGAAATCTTGACATAAAATTACCTCTCTCTGAAATCCCTTTCTGGCAAAATTATGGATCATAACAACATTATCATTTGTTCTCCATTTTTAAGTTATACATCTAGACTGAATTTCTATTAAAACTATGTTTTGGGTATGTTCACTGTTTTTTTTGTTGTTTTGTGGGTTTTTTTCAAAATATGTGTAAATAATTCCATAGGCTGAAGTTTGTGATTTCTTAAATAGATTTTTCTTCATTGGTACATTTCTCAGCTGAAGGACAAAATCTGGAAAAACAGACTAACAGTAGCAAAATTTTGAGAAAACTCAAACTTCTATTTTAGAAATGAAAATTTTCTAAAGTCAGAAAGTACGGTTATGTGTGTGGCACAAGGCTTTCAGTACACCAAATTTGAGACAGACACTTTGGATACAATCATGCTTCTTCATAAAAGGAGACTAAGACACAGTTTCTGAATTAAAAGCTAACTTGTGGGCTTTGGTTGTGTCCACTTTGATTAGTACTAGCTTCATCTAGAATAGATTGTCCTTGTCACCTAATGCCTTTGGACCTAAATTTCCTTGTTTAAATGCATGCTTGCAAACAGTGTGAGTGTCTTGAAGGCAGCTGGTATATGCTGTCCACATCTATACTGTTAATATCACTCTCCAAAACAGGGTGGCTGCATCCAACGTGGCTGTGCTGAGAATGATCTCTAGCACACCACCAACTTGCAAAGTATTTGTGCATTGTTTCATGGAGTGCTAGTTGGGATGAGGAAAAACCATTCTGGGGACAATTCTAAGAGCATAATGGTGTAGGTGATGCAAGTATTGGCATCCATGACCTATCCCTGGCACTGTTCAATCAGCACTCCAGATGTGACCTCTGTGTACCATCTCCTTCCTCTTACTGCAAGACACTGCTGTTTCACAGTGTTGTGGTTTAGGCCTGGGCTTCCTGGACATTTTTATCTGCTTAAAATGTGTGAAATAATGAGTGCTCTGATTCAGGCTGCACTGTGGCATGTTTACAGCAGGAAACATATATGGCACATACTTTGGCTTGTGAATGCAAAGACTGCAAGAATTGCTCAAGGCAGAAAGTTCTATGATTCTAAAATTCTGATCATGTTCCACTTTGCTTTGGGACTTTGATGAGGGAATTATTATAGATGTATAACCAGATATCCTTTCTTGGACACAACTAGTTTTGTCTTGGAGACAGTTTAAACTGGAGCCATGCGAATTTATAGTCAAAGGGTATAGACAAATGCAGTTATAGTATTATGAAGATCGAAACCCTTTTTTAGTTAGCAATGTAGGTGACTACATACACATTACTGAAAAAAAGTAGTGTGATTCACCTTAAAAAAAAAATCTCAACTATCACTTAACTCATAAACTAAAAATGTCCAACACTGCAAATGGTCCCAGGTGACAAAAAACCCTGAGATCATATTTATACCAACATATATACAAACCCATATTAATATATAATAAAGAAATAAAGCCCATGCAGAAACAGACTACAGTTTTCAAGTGTTATATTGGGAATGTTTTTCATATCCCTTTAATATAAAATCAATTAGTTGTCTCAGTAGTCCTGGCCACAATCATTCATTCACTGAAATTGTGAACTCAAATTATTAATTTATTTTTTTAAATGGAGCAATCTCCTGAATACCTAACATGGAAGATATAGTTATTTTTATAATTCTAGATGCCTTAGAGGAATGAGAAACCATTTTAGGTTTTTTTCAGCTGTTTGTTTGAAAGCTTTTGTTTGGATTCTTTTTTAAATAGAGTTAACGGAGATAGATTTCTCACTATTCTAGGAAAACACCTTGCTCTCATGATGGTGTCACATTTTTGCCAACCTTAGGAAATTAAAATCTTCATCAGTAACAATGTTTTAGTTTCCCTAGACATACTTTACACATCACAAGAGATTACTACAGTGGTCTTTCAAGTTTTAAAATCTATGAGTCTATAAAAATACAATCATATTCACGACTAGTATTTGAAGAGTCTCAATTACTAGAGATTACATTTTTTTTCCACCCACATAAGAACTTCCCTTGCGGTAGAAAATGTTGGGTAGCAGCACTAGAGAGCTCTGACCTTAAAAATGTTAAAACATTGGTGCAGTCTCTGATCTGGCATTTTATATTGGATAAAAAGGTGAAAGTGACACAAATGTGGGCTTAAGATAAGCAAGAAAAGGACAATTCTGTGTGGAAACTAAACATATAATTGTTCCACAGAGATTTATTTCAGGTCTAGGCATAGAGACCATGATGACAGTGAGATCTATTGGTATGAGAAGACTAAGTAAACTCCTCCTTGAACAGCAGAGAACTAAAAAAGATACATTAGTGATTAATTTACTTTCTTTTCTCAGTGTTTCAGATTCTGTTCAGTATCCTTTCAGAATCAACTCATGAATGGACAATTTTCAGCCAATTATTTAGAGTTTTTTCAAAATATCTTACACTAATTTAAATTAGGTCAAATCTGAATTGAACCACATTGAACCAGATCAACCCTACAGTGGGCATGTCCAGGAGCTTAGGGGAAGTTATAAGAAGATTCTATAATGTGTAACTATGCAATAATTTTCTCATTAGACAATTTTCTGAAACCTGTCAGCTATTTGTTTTCTTACATATGGAAGTGTGTAGACTTGTTTCTCTCACAAAACTTACTAATACACTGTAAGTGTCCTTAACGGCCGATCCTAATCTGAACTCTTGATTTCCACAAAACTATGTAATGTGTTATGGCTTCTTCTAAATTTGTATAGTTAGTCTAGTGGAGAATAAACTGTTTCTCTACTTCCTGACATCACCAAGAACTTTGCAGAGTTTCATGGTATTTGTACATTGTGGCACTAATAAAGAATATTTCTAAAAAAAGAAATTAAGAACATAATGTGTGAAGTTTACCATCTTGTACCTTTGCTATGGTGTTTTTTAAATAAATTTTTCAATTACTTTAATGTGACAACCTTTGTTTACACAAAACAGTGTTCATATAAATTAAAATTTAATACATGCATTCTTTTTAAGCAGAACTCTACCAGGTTTTAAATAGTGTTTTGTGGCTTCTATATAATTCAGTGTTCAACTATAGTATCTAGCTAAGGAGTAAAGCTATGAAGTAATGTCAAAGAGAATGAGAGAATATATGAGAATATTTCAATTAATTGGTATAATTCAGCAGAGTGGCTACTGGTGAAATTAAAGTATCCTGGAAAAGAAACAAAACAAATATCTGACTGTAGTTAAAAATTGCTTGAAAATAGCCTTATTAATGAAATTACAAGGTGGCATTCAGACGATGATTGGCACAGGTACCTGAGCAGTGAGGAAGAGTCCCACTCCAGTGGCTATCTTCTTTGCACTCCCTGGTAGAATTTCCTATGAGCCTTCGACCCGCTGTGCAAGAATAGTGAACTATGGAGCCATACGTGAATTTATCTCCTGAAAGAACTGCATTGGCAGGTACCCCAGGATGTCCACAAGAAATGGCTAACAGAGGAAACAGCACAATATTATAAGATGTTTTTGTGACAGAAAAAAATTACTATAACCTTTAAATATGAGGTTAGTTCCACACAATATAAACTGCTTGATTTTAACTCCTTCACATATTCAGTTTTGCTGTTACTATAGATGATTTACTAGTCATTTGTGAGACTAAACATAAAACTACATGTAAAACTAACCCACTAATTTCAGCCGTTCCCTGAAAACATAGAGAGCTCTCTTTCCTTATTCATTTCTATTCACTGTCCATCCCCCTTTGGAAGAAAATCATACACATTTCCTGTAGGTCACCTTGATGGGCCTGTTAATGATTTGTAGCAAGTAGCAAAAAATTTTCCCAGTTTATTAAGAAGAAAGGAAACATCTATTTTAAAGCAATAATATTCATAGGTATTGCCTTGCATATGAAAGAGCAGTATGTTTCTTATTTTTTCCTCTCGAACTAAGATTGTTTATTCTAAACATTGTGTCCACTCTGGGTTCAAAATATATCTCATCTCCCTCTTCGAGGACTTTTCCTTATCACCAAAAGCAATCTTACACTTGAAAAAAAGAAATTATCATTAATAAACTTTTAAATTTAAAACTCTTATAGTACTTGAAAAGGCTTTGAGTGACTTCATTTGTGAATAGCTAAACAGTTTTTCTTAGAGGAAGGTGTTAAATTTGTCCCAATGATATTTAGGGTTCAGACAGTGTTTCAGTCCATAGCAGCAAATTGGCAGCAGGTAGATCAGCAGGTGACTGAATTCCCACAGCGTTAATCAGGAGTCCCCAGAGCAAGGTTAAGAATTCCTGTTCTGATGGAATGGACATCTACAACTTTCCTAGAGCTCTGCCTAAAAACTGAAAGCCATGTAAATGCTACCAAACTTCCCAAACACTTGATGTGGAAAGATGGGTAGCTATTCTAGGTGATTTAGATTCCCTATTCTCTTCTATCCCTTGCATAAGTAGCATCCCTTCACATTGAAGTCACAGTCCTGAAAACAGGAAGGGATCACCAACAGAATTGGGTCACAGACTTTCACAATAGTCCTTATAGGAAACAAAAAGTGAGGCACATGCTTGCATCTGTAATATATCCTTGCCAAATGAAAAATTTTGTGCAACTATTTTGTATTTAAAATGTTGCATTTTGGTTAATTATTTTATTATTAAAAGGTGACTAAAACCAGTTTTAAGGTTATAGCTCTTACTGACAGATATTGAAAGTGTAGATTGTTGTGAAAATCAAAAGAAAACTGCTTGGGTCATATGGATGTTAGATACATAGTTTTAGGAAGAAAGAAAGCAAGCATAAAAAAAAAGAAACAAATTCACTAGCCTAGTTGCCTTTACTGATCTGATTGGTATCTAAGCATAAATTCATAAAAAAATCATTTAAGTAAACAATCACAATTCTGTAAAGCAAAAACATTAAAATAATATGATGTATTGGTAAATTAATGTACACTTTCATTTCATGAAGTGAAATTATGCAGGGAGAAAATCA